TGGCGCGATCTCGGCTCACCGCAGCCTCCGCCTCCTGGGTTCAGGCAATTCTCCTGCCTCAGCCTCCTGAGTAGCTGGGATTACAGGCACGTGCCACCATGCCCAGTTGATTTTTTGTATTTCTAGTAGAGACGGGGTTTCACCATGTTGACCAGGATGGTCTTGATCACTTGACCTTGTGATCCACCCGCCTCGGCCTCCCAAAGTGCTGGGATTACAGGCGTGAGCCACCGTGCCCGGCTGCCTTGAATTCTTAAAATTATCTGTAGCACCCATGAATAGAGTTTGTGAACTGTATAAGAACTTTAAAGTCATCATCGGCATTCTCCTGAGAATCTTGTAGCAAAGTTAGGCATTTGCAGGAATCTCAGCCAGCCAGTAAATATTCACTCAGTGCTGACTCTTTTCTAGACCCTGTGCTGTATGCAATGATGCAGATTTGGTAGGAGTTGTCACTGTCCCACTAACTACAGTCATTTGAATAGAAGGTGCCTGGGGCTGAGGGGTCATCAGCTCCAATACCCAATTCAGACAATGCCTACTCGCAGCCCATCTGGCACCAACCCCATAGGCACTCTAAGCCATGGTTGCCAATTGTCTCTGAGCAACACTTGAGAAACCTAGTCTAAGATAAACAACAACAGAAAGCTATACTGCAAACCAAGCTAAATATCAATTGCAAATGTAAATTTTCTAATTGTCTGACAATGAAAAAATTACAATGTAAATAAAAGCAGGAATGGTCCAGGGGTCATGCCTCATGCCTGTAACCCCAGCAGCTTGGGAGGCTGAGGTGGGTGGATCAGTTGAGGTCAGGAGGTCCAGACCACCCAGGCTAATATGGCAAAGTGCGGTTTCTACTAAAAAAATACAAAAATTAGCTGAGTGTCATGGCAGTGCCTGTAATCCCGGTTATTCAGGAGGCTGAGGCCAGATAATCACTTGAACCCAGAAAGTGGAGGTTGCAGTGAGGCGAGATTCTGCCACTGCACTCCAGCCTGGGTGACAGAGTGAGACCCTGTCTCCAAAAAATAAGTCTGTAAATAAATAATACCAAGAGTTAAGAGCTTTTAAAAACATATATGTGAGGCTGGGCATGGTGGCTTTTTCCTGTAATCCTAGCACTTTGGGAGGCAGAGGTTGGTGGATCACCTGAGGCCAGGAGTTTGAGACCAGCCTGGCCCACATGGTGAAACCCCATCTCTGCTGAAAATATAAAAATTAGCCAGGCATGGTGGCTGGCGCCTGTAATCTCAGCTACTCAGGAGGCTGAGGCAGGAAAATTGCTTGAGCGATTCAGATGTTGCAATGAGTCGAGATTGTGCCACTGAACTCCAGCCTGCGCAACAAGAACAAGACTCCATCTCAAAAACAACAACAAAAATAGGCTGGGAGCAATGGCTCACGCCTATAATCCCAATACTTTAGGAGTCCTAGGTGGACGGGTCACAAGGTCAGGGGTTTGAGACCAGCCTGACCAACATGCTGAAACCCAGTTTCTACTAAAAATATATAAAAATTAGCCTGGGGTGGTGTCACACAACTGGAATCCCAGATATTCAGGAGGTTGGGGCAGGAGAATCGCTTGAACCCAGGAGGCAGAAGTTGCAGTGATCCCAGATCGTCCCACTGCACTCCAGCCCAGGCGACAGAAGGTCAGGAGTTCGAGACCAGCCTGGCCAGCCTGGTGGCAGGCAACTGTAGTTCCAGCTACTCTGGAGGCTAAGGCAGGAGAATCACTTGAACCCGGGTGGTGGAGGTTGTAGTGAACCAAGATTCGCACCACCGCACTCCATCTCAAAACAAACAAACAAAAAGAAAACAACAGAAATATGTGGAAAAAGTCACCAAAAGACTGTCAAATTTAAAATGAAATGTTTATGGATTGCTTTTTCTTATTTCCCACATGACCTCAATTCATCAGTAACTATCGGGCTGTGTGATGCCTCATGCCTGTAATATCAGTACCCTGGGAGGCCCAGGCAGGAGGAGCGCTTAAGCTTAGGAGTTTGAGACCAATCTGGGCAACATAGTGAGACTTCATCGCTACAAAACATAAAAACATAAAAATTAGCCAGGTGTGGTGGCATACACCTGGAGTCTCAGCTACTTGGGAGGCAAGGTAGGGAGACACTTGAGCTGGGAGATGAAGGCTGTGGTGAGTCCTGATTGCATCGCTGCCTGGGTAATGGAGTGAAACCCTGTTTCAAAAAACCAGCCAACAAAAACCAACCACCTGCAATTCTCCACCATGTCAAATGAACATATTGGGAACAAGAAACAGAGAGGTGGAAGTCTAGTCTCGCTTCAGGGGTAGCTATTCCCAGTATCTTGATAGACTTTTAAAAGTACTCAGTAATACACTATAGCTGAAGAGTGAAGCATATTTTGTTTGTTTTGAGATGGAGTCTTGATCTGTCACCAGGCTGGAGTGCAGTGGTGTGCTCAGCTCACTGCAACCTCTGCCTCCCAGTTGAAGCAATTCTCCTGCCTCAGCCTCCCAAGTAGCTGGAATTACAGGTACCTGCCACCACAACTGGCGAATTTTTATATTTTTAGTAGAGACGAGGTTTCACCCTGTTGGCCAGGCTGTTCTTGAATTCCTGATCTCATGATCCACCTGCCTCGGCCTCCCGAAGTGCCTGGTTTACAGACACGAGCCACTGCACCTGGCCTGTTTTATTTTTTTCAGACAGATTCTCTCTCTGGAATGCAGTGGTGCTATCATGGCTTACTGCAGACTTGACCTCCACAGCTTAAGTGGTCTTAACTTCATTGGCTTCTGGAATAGATGGGATTACAGGCACATGGTACTATTCCTGGCTACTTTTAAATATTTTTCTGGCTGGATGCAGTGTATAAGGCATGTAATCCCATTACTTTGGTAGGACAAGGCTGGTGGATCACAAGGTCAGGAGTTCGAGACCAACC